CGGGGTGGAGGCGACGTTGGAAAACCCCAGTGGCTCTATGATTTTTAGTCTGCTGAGTGACACGATCCGAGACTTGGCTGCAGCTGTCTGGCACCTGTAGTGCTGCCACGGTCAGTCCCCTTGCTGCATAGGATTCTGCTGCTAAGGCGTTCTTGAGTCTGTGCACCGGGCATTCATTCACTACCTGGATCGCTGCGCCTATGATGTCAGTGACCCTCCGAGAATATACAAGCACTTCAAGTTTCGCACAGGAGGGTGGCTGCAGAGTGCTGTCCGCACTTGCAGCTGCCAGTGCAATCATCTGAAGCTGATGGAGGAGACAGTAAACCCAGAGGGCAAGATACAGAAGACTGGCATCAAAGACTTGATGGGCCTCTCAGGTCAATACCCTCCTGCTCTAGGAGCAGCTATGATAGACGCCTGGAAGTCCCGACATGCATGGCGACCACCAACCGCGCAAGCTCCAGACTCAGCCCACTTGAGCAACTCATGGGCATTTTGCTGTCCCACTCAGGGCACCAAGCGAAAAGGCACCGCTGGCAGTGACAAGGAGGCCACTGCGCAGCTGCAAAAGCGGGAAGAGAAGGCTCCAGCCTCGGCTTCTTGCATTGCGCCCCATGGCAAATTCCCAAGATCAGTGTCTCCAAGGCTCAGCCTCCAGCTCCAGTGCATCCAGCACCTGCAGTGGTCGGAGATCTCAGTGCCGATTTTGATCCCTGGCACCTGGATACCAGGCGGCAATGCAGACTCCCATGTTTGCAATTCTGCTTCGTACTTGCGACTTGTCTAAGGGCACCCAAGCGAACAGGTGCCACTGCACAGCCACCGAAGACTAAAAAGACTCCAGCCAAGGCTTCTTGCATCGCATCACTCAGTCTGATGCAAATTCCCACGCAAGACTGAGATCAGTGTGTCCAAGGCTCAGCCTCCAGCAGCTCCAGTGGCTCCAGTGGCTCCAGTGCATGTAGCCAAGACGTCTTCAGACTCAGCTTCTGCTGAGTTTGATTCCTGGCACTCTGATGCTAGGCAGCAATGAAGACTGCCAGGTCTTGTCTGCCAGGCTCAGGCAGCTTGCAGCTTGTCTAAGGATGCTGCAGCCGCTCACCTGCCTTCAGAGCCAGGTGCTGACTCCTGGGACCCCTGGTGCTCCCGTAAGGAAGCCCAAGAAGCTGTGTGGGACCCCTGGTGTCAAGTTGAAAGCACAGTAGTCATGAGTCCTGGGACCCTTGGTCCTCCAGTGCTAGTGCTGAGCCATGACATGCTCACAGGCAGGAGGTGGAAAAGGAACCACTGCAGCTGCTGCCACTACTGCTGACTCTGCATCATCGCACTTGTAGCAGCCCGCAGCTATTTGGCAAAGAAGCATGTCAGGGGCTGATCCGTGGGATCCTTGGGCAGGCACTGATGGCAGCACTGGGGATCCTTGGGATCCTTGGGCAGCTGAAGGTGCAGCTGCACAGAAGCCTCGCCGAGGCAAACGCCAGGCACAAGATGATGAGCCCCAGGAGCTGCAGGCCCAGTCTCGCAAGCAGGTCCGTCTCGACTCTTCCCTTGAAGTGGCAAGTAAGCTGTCAGATCGGCGTGCTGGCGAACATGCACCCACTGCATATGAGGTGAGTGGAGCTGACCGGAAGCGCATTCAGTCCGTGGTCGCCACGGCCTGCAAGCGCAGGGGCTGCAAAAGGCCAGGCTGCAAGGCCAAGATGCAGCTTGATCTGGTGGTCCAGTTCGTCCAGCAGTACTGGGGCCTGCTGAGTGATGAGAGGGCCCACTTGCTTCGCTGCACGTACAACGATGTAGCTCCCAGCTCGACTGGAGACATCAAGATTGCAGAGCGGGGCAGAGTGGACAGTGTGCGGGGAGTTGGTTTGCTTCACCCGCTTTTGTGCCATCATTGGCTGCAGCCAGCGCACTGTGCGCAACGCAATCGCCGGGCAGCCAGACCTGAGGCGGTCCCGCTCTAGCAACCTTCCTGCCCAGGCCAGGCCAGCTGAGCAGGCTATCAAGTGCGACATGTTTTTTCACCAGCTTCATGCATCCGCTGCAGAGCCAATGCCCGAAGATGAGCAGGCCTATCCCGCTGTCCGGTTTGTGGATGGTCGAGCTGTTCCAGCTGCAAAGGGGTCCAGGAGTGCAGAAGTGCAGGAGACAGACCCAGAGTCTCCTTTGGCTCCAGGGGCTCCAGTGGCTCCAGTGGTGGCTGGCAAGAAGAAGTCTGCATGCAAGGCCTCCCTGATCAACATTGACCCATGGGAGGACTGGTCCTTTGACTGGATGGAGACATCACCCCTGACACCAGCAGCCAATGCAGTGGTCCTAGGCCTTCCAGTGCGCAAAATCCAGCACTGTCGCCTGGTAGACCTTTACTGGCAGATGTGCTCTGAATGGGAAGTGATGATAGAGCGCCGGCCTGATCTAGGCGCGAGGCCCTCATATCATACATTTGTGCGACGCTACACATCCCACTGGAAGCATGTTTTGCCCCTTGGCCTTGATTAGCTGTTGACGGTTCTTCATGGTGTGAAGCTATCTCACCCTGCCAAGTCCAGGCAGATGAGAAAAACGTCGCAGCATGGGCAGTGCAAGATCTGCTTCGATCTCTACATGGCCCTTCGAAACCCAAGATCCTCTTGGGAAGCCAAGGCGGAAGCAGCACGAGTGCTTCGCACTCACCATCGGGAGCAATATACGGATCGCATGCTGTACTGGTCCCTGAGGTGGTCCAGCATCAATGCTAAGAACTGCCTGGTCATCATCATAGATGGCATGGGCAAGTTTCCCACCTCCTGGCCACACCTGGGCCACGACAGGGTGTCAAAGGAGCTCGAGAACATCGTCAAGCCGAAGATGGTGATCACAGGTGCCCTAGCACATGGCTGGGGAACATTTCTGTATGGCACCGCCGAGCAGCACAACCATGGTGCAGAGACTCGGACTGCATGCAGTGCCCATACTCTGCACAGCAAGGCAGCAGCAATAGCACAGCTAAGGACCACTATGGTGAGGTCCTCTGCCGCGTGCTAGACATCATTTTTCGGTCCAGTAGGTCTAGTGGTCAAGTAGTGCCAGAGCACTTGATCCTTGTCGCAGACAACACAGTGGCTCAGTGCAAAAACCAGCAGACCTTGCTCTTTTTAGCATACCTCGTGGCGAAAGGGTACTTTGCCTCAGTCACCCTCTTTCACCTCATGGTAGGTCACACGCACGAGGCCAGGGTGTGTCCATGCTTTGTGGGCTGATTTCTGCCTGCACCTTCTGGCAGGACATTGACCAGCTGTTTGCCCTCATCAAGGCAGGGCCCACGCATTTCAGGCTGCACGTGTTGGCTAAGCCCTGGCCAGGCAATCCTGGCCGGGATGCGGACGTGGCAAACACCCAGGGACATGCTTCAAGGTATCAGGCAGAAGCTGGAGCCACGCGTCAGGAGCAAGGGGGAGTTCTTGATCACGGACGAGATCACCGCTGTGCACGACTTCAAGTCCTGGCTCGCGCCCTTGCCAGTTGCTGCGGCCTCAAGTTGGCTTCCTCACTTGGCACTCCATGGGAGCACTCATGTTCATGTCCGAGTCCGAGCCGCGTGGGCCACACTGCCCTAACCAAGGAGATGTCAGGCTGCTTCAAGCCAAGATATGGCACTGCTTCATGCTCATGAAAGGTCGCCAGCTGACTCGTGCGCACAGCTCAATGCTAGACGACACTCCAGACCCTGATGGCGTGTACGTGTGCATAAAGTCCTATGTGAGAGACACAGTGCTTCAGCAGCCGCCCGAGCTGCTGCTCACCCCACTCTTACTCGGCAGGATGTCCCGAAGTGTGCCTGGTCAAGTCCTGCCACGTCGAGAGCTGGGCGACTCAGAGATCAAGAGCTTCCTGAAGCTGGCCCAGCTGTGCATCAAGTATGGCATGCCCCTAGCAGAGAGTGCTCTCAAGGAAATGGTGTACCAGAGGGTGGACAGCGTTGTCGATCTTAGCTGGCTTGCTGAGCAGGTTGGCCGAATGCGTGGTCTGCGCAATCTTGCCACCGGTGATCATTTTTTCCCGCACTTGCCAGACTCAACCTGGCAAATGTCAGTGCGGCTGGGGTGATTGAGCCACTGGGTCAATACTTGGCTCTAGTGGCTCCCGTGGCTTCAGACATTTCCAATGCGCCACCGGGCCAGGGTGAAGTTGACTCGTCCGCTGGGTCAATATGTTTTTGTGTTTTTTTGCAAAATTGCAAGTCAGCATGGCCCAGCTACTCCTGTCAGCACGGCCCAAGTAGCGGCAAAATAGTTGCTGTTTTTGAGGCGGGTCATCGAGTTGAGGCGTAGACTGACCACTTTCTGAGATGTCCGGGCCCAGAGCTGCCTGGTCATCACTGATGCTGTGTGCAACTTGCCAACACAGACCCGTGCGGCCAGTGACTGGACAAGGTCATCAGAACTTGGCCACAGCTTGAGCCACTGGATCCAGTGGATCCAGTGGATCCAGCTGGCCCTGGCCCAATGCTTCTCATGCTGACGAGCTCCTGGACTTCTGCCCTGAACAGCTGCGCATCCAAAACACAGCTGCACCGGCAGCTGCAGTGATTGCTGCCTTCTAGATCCAGCACGCCAGTGTGGAGTGGACATTATTGGAGCGGGGATCAAGTGAATCTCCATCTCAGACTTCTGGCCCAGCCCTCAGAAGACCCACAATGATGATGTTTGCCCCCTTGGTGTTGGAGGTGAGCTTTAGAAAGGCCCAGCAGGCTCCGTGTGTCAACCAAGGCTTGGTCCTCCTGATCCGGCAGCAGTGTAGCCTCCATCATCAAGTCAGAAAAATGACAAGTGCCGCAGCACTGCAGCTGCCAAGAGCCCATTGCAAGCATGGTCATGTCCACAGATTGCAATAAGGTCAGCCACTGCACATCGGTGGAGCTTTTGCGGCTCCAGTGGCTCCAGTGGCTTCAGTAAGTCACGGGTCGGTAGTGGAGCTTAGCTGCACTGCCGATGAGCACTCTGGAGGACTTGCTCAGAAGCATGACAGTGACATGTGGCCCCTGTTTGCGCCTCAGGAGAAGCTCGGCAAGGTCTATGAGAAAACCTTTGCAGAGATTCGCTCCTCACTGTCAGGAGACACCTATGCCAATGTCCATGACTGGATGCAGGCAGAGTACTTGGCGAACCCTGCCCAGCTGATGTCTGAGCTGAAGGAGCTGGAGGGTGAGTGCCGGCAGATACTTGGGCTCCCAGGCTCCAGCAACATCCAGAGCACAGTCCCTGACTCCTTGGTGACTGACCAAGATGTACCCCGACGCTTCAAGTTGGCCCTGTGGCAGTTTGGCTTCCTGGCTGAAAGCCAGCTCAAGGGGCCTGTCCAGTCATACGCAGTGTCCCTCACCTGCACCCAGTGGCTGTCTTGTGTGCTGAGTTTGTGAGTGCACAGTGACATCTATTTTGTGGCCAGCCAGGCGAGACAACTTGCAGAAGCTGATGGTGTTCAAGAGAGGCAATGAAACGCATCGATATCCATTGGAAGTGCTCTTCCAGTTTCCGTGCAGCCTCAATCCAGCACCAGCTGGTCCAGGCTCACTCCTCAGCTGTTGTGCCATCAGCCAATTCCCCACATGGCAGTGCCAGAGTTGAGCCATTGCTGAGGCTCAGAAGTGCAGCCATTCACGGTGGCACTGGCCATCGGATCTGCTACAGTCATGAGCTGCTTTCTGTTCGCAATCTTCAGCAAAAGGCTCGACATTCTCGCAGAGCACATCACGGACGAAGAACTGCAAAGGGAGTTGGCCTTGCGCCTGATGAAGACCCTTGTGCTCCACACGACGAGCTCTGGAGATGACAATCCCGACAGAAGAATGCTTCAAAGCCTGGGGGAGAAGCGTGCAGCTGCGCAGCGCACGCATCCGAGCCCCTTCCAGCACTGGTACGTCTACCAAAAAATCCTCAGCAAGCAAGTCAACCCACGTGGGCCGGGGCCTTGGGCCCAGTCAAAGCTTGCACGCACTTGCTTCCTGTGAGTCAGGTCTAGGGAGCAGCGCCTGCGCGACCTCATCCGTGAGCAGAACGCATCCGCGGTGTCAAAAGCTCGAGTGGGCACAGAGGAGATGTCAGTGATGATATTCCTGGACAGTGCAGGGTTTCTAATGAAATGCCCCCTGTGCGTATTTGCAGGCCCTGAGACCAGGAAAATCATTGCGGCAGCCCACCAGAGCGAGGCGCCGCAGTTCACGGCGTTCCCGTTGTCGCTTCTCACCAAGGACTTCTTGCACCCGTATTACCCGAATCCAGTGCAACTTGGCACAGCCCAGGCCAGCGGCACTCTCCCAGTGGCTCCAGTGGCTCCAGTGGGTCTAGAGGCTCCAAAGTAGCCTTCCATCTCAGGAAGAAAGAGGAGAACCCGGTCTGGCATGCGATCCACGGCCATTCCTGGGAGAAGGTCGAGTGGTGGGCCCGAAGGGTCTATGGCAAATGGGAGCATAAGATCTCCCAAGTGATCCAGGCTGGGCAGGTTCCAGCCGTCAAGAGCTCGACAGGCTGCGCGCCCTTCCGAGATTCCGGCAAAGAACTGGAAATCTACTGCATGGCCCAGCTCATGCAGCACTACAACCACGCCTTCGTGAAGATGTTGCCACAGGACCGCTACAAAGAGCTCATGACCATGTGGAACAGTGGCCTGGTGGACTCGAAGGTCATGCCCGCCATCATGGCGAAGCGCAAGGAATTTGAGCCGAGGGATCTCGCCTTCCTTGCCCTGCAAGACGATCGAGCTCCCCGCAACTTCCTCAATCCAGCAGGGACTGCTGAAAAGCAGGACCAGGGGGGCTCAAGCAGGGATCCACAGCTTGGCTTCAGTGCTGGGCAAATAAGCACCCTACTTTAGGGAGCACCCCCCCACTTTAGGGAACTCACCCCCCTTCTCAGGAAGCTCTCAAGCGCCTGGTCAAGCAGCTCCAGCATGAGCAGCGCGCCTGGCGGGTGTACTTGCAGAAGGCAAAGGCCTCCGACGACATGCAGAGGGGCGACTGGAACGTCCAGGTGGCGAGGCAGCAGGAGCGCCTTGAGGAGGCCTGGCAGAGCCTCAGCAGTGCCTGGTGTGTCACGACAGCCGCCAAGGACACTGCTGTCCGGGAAATCGATGTCATGACTTAACTTGTTGCCTTGCTGTCCTTGAGCTAGCTGTTTTGGCATGCAGGACCTCAGCACAGCCATGCCACACGTCGCTGCCCACCGGCACATGCTGGCAGATGCGGCAGATGCTGTCCAGGTCCATCAAGTGGTTCAAGTGTTCGAGTGGAACATTCCAAAGGCAGGTGGGGAAGCCTCCAAGAAGGCGGAAGAAGCTGCAAAGGCCATCGCCCTCTCATGCAGCACTGACCCGCAGATGGCTATTCACATAGTGCCCCCTGCTTGCACTGTTGTGCTAGGCTTCAGTCATATATACTTGAACCAGTAGTGGACCTTGCCATGAAACCCGCGCGTGCCGAGGATCCCGCCTTGCCAGCCATGCTGCGGGAAGATGGACAGCTCAGGAGACGAAAGGGTGGAGAGCACAGCCAGGCATGTGGAGCTGTGGCTGGATCAACTTTCAAAGCCTGAGCACAAGCTCCTCATCCGCAAGGTGAGGGTGACCTGGAGCGCGGAGACATTTTACAGCCCAGAGCGGGAGCTTGCCTGGGAAGCATGGATCACACTGTCATCCACGACCAGGGTGCCCAACAAAGCCAGCTCCTTCAATCACGTGCTGGGCAACAGCCCACTTCTGAAGCGCGGTGCTTTTCCAGTTTTCATCAACGCCATGGCTCGGAAGGACTTCCGCAACTGGAAGGTGCCGCTGGGCTTCGATGGTGCTGGAGGCTCCAACAACGCCTTGTCCATTGAGCAGCTGCAGTGGTTCAGCGGCTCTGAGCTCCACTCACAGTTTTTGCGCCACCTCTTCATGGGCTCCAGCTTGGGGAAGCAGAGCCGGGTTCAGGTCATCGACATGTTTCTTCTCGACGACCAGCCTGGAACAAGTGTGGTGGACTTGAACTGCCTCAGCGACCGCGGGCTTCCTCAAGTCGGGTACTGTGGAATAGTGTGGATCCAAGAGAAAGCACTTGTGAGGCAGGGGTTTGGTGTCCAAAAATGTTTCTGGGAGGCCTTCCACCTCCAAGTGCCTAGAGCCTTCAGGAATGTCATCCTGGAGAATGTCACCACATCCCTCTCTAACATGTACAAGGAAAAGCTCCGACAGAAGACGCTGCTCTTGGAGACGGGGGTCGTCGTCCCGGAGGTTGGCCAGGGGGCGGGTGCACAGCACGCAAAGCCTGAGTATGACCCCAAGGACTTTGAGCTGTGCTGGCCAAGGGCAAATCAGGAGCTTCCACTTCGGCAGACCACTGTGGATCAGGCAGAGAAGCTCAATGGCATCTCCATCACAGACTCCAGTGGTCAAGGGATCCAGTGGTCCAGCCTTCAAAAGGCCCACAACGACGAGTTCTGCCCCAGCGGTGAGGCCTACAACCCTGCCAGCAACAAGAGGAGCCCAGAGTGCAGCACCGAGGAGCTGCAGAAGCAGACCAAGCCTGCAGTGAATCTCTCAGCCAGCTCAGCCTCCAGATGGCCTGCTGAGCACTGGAGTTGCCACGGACGACTTCCAGCTGATCTTGGCACCTGACGGCTCTCTTTACGTCAAAGCCCTCAAAGACTCCTGCCTGGAAAGCAGTGCAGCACTGTTCCTGTGCAAAGGCACGTACAAAACTGGAGCAACCGCCAAGGCAGAGAAGGGCAAGCCTGGCTCCGCTTTCATTCCCTCCGAGATGAGCCAGGACACCTTGGTGGTTGTCGACTTGGGCGGCACCCGCTGTCCGAACGGTGCTCCTCCCAGTTTTCCAGTGCCTCTTGGAGCTGCCTTGCAATGGTTTGCCGGCGCGCGTCTTCAGGTCGGTGCAATTTTCAAGCACAAGGTCTTCGAGGTCGAGGGCAAGTTCAAGGTAGCCGCCACAGATGATGTCATCTACCAGCTGGATGTGAGCCGCAAAGATATGGACCCAAAGGCAGTGATTGCAAAGGAAGCACTGTCCAGCTACGTTGACTATAGCAAGCTCACCCATCTCAAGGCAATCCAGCGGGTGAAGTATGATGAGAGTGGTAAGGCGCTCAAGCAAGGCATTCCCGCTGTTCACGCATCCCAGTCAATTCGTCTCAAAAAGGACGAAGTGTATAAGATGTAGGGGCTCTAGTGCCTCTAGTGGCTACAGTGGCCACTCAGTTTTGCTTCAGCTCAGAGGGCGGGCAAGGCCCTAACAAAGCACGTGACCATGGTGAAAAAGATAGCTGACCACCAGGGCTCGACTTGTTTGAGGCAAGTGTTGTTTATGCTGCATTGCCCGCGGCTCTTGAATTTCAAGAAGCTCGAGAAAACACCCTTAGGCCCCGGCTCTAGTCTCGCCATGATGATGTCCTTCTCCATCGCTCCAAAGCCAGACCTGTCGTTCTTGGAGCACTCCTCGCAGGACATATATGGAGAGTTGACACAGCGGGAGCAAAGGGCAGCTGATCAAGTTGCCCGTTCCCTGCAGTGCCCAGAGCCTGAATCTGCATCCAATCCGGAAAAGGCCAAGGGCAGTCCGCAAAAGGCCAAGGGCAAGGGCAAAGCCAAGGGTCAAGCCAAGCCCCAAGCCAAGTCCAGTGGGAAGACTGCTGCCCCAGTGCAAAAAAAGCCCAGCAAGGCTTTGATGAAAAAGCCTGCCAAGTCTTCCTAGAGCTAGCTCAATGCAGCTTTCAGCTGGACTCGCTGTTTTTTTCAGGAAATCATGCCTTGCTTCAGGAATCAGTTGCTTCAGGAAATCACTTGGCTACAGTGGGTCCAGTGGCTCTAGCTGGACAAGAGTAGAAAGGGCCCTGCGCGGGGATTGAAAAAATCTACAGGCAGCCCGTGCACGCTTTTATGTTGCCGGTGCAGTGCAGCAGTTCTGAGTGCCACAATTTCAGCACATTGCTCTGAGGCTTGCGGCGCCATGACTTTTGACATGTCGCCGGTGGCTTGGAGTGAGACTGCTGCACTGTGGCAGCTTAGCACTGCATGGGCAGCAAATCAAGATTACTGAACTACTTGACATACAGGATCCACTCAAAGCTTCTTGACTTTGATCTCGACGCATAGCCGGCGAACCGTCTCAGGTGCAAGGCACGCCTTCACTCGCAGGACTTTGCTCACCTTCGTGGCAAGAGGCCGCCATCCAAACTCACCCTTGTCGCGCTGCGCCTTGAGTTTCTTCACCTGCTTGATGCTGGCCTGGGACGGCTTGAGCTTCTGAATCACACTTTTGCAGCCGTTCACCTGAAGGGAAATCCAACCGCAACAATGCGTTATTGCCACTTTACTTCCCTCTTCTAAACATGGTTTTGGAGCTTGCCCGCCTTGGGGCTCCCCTTCTGTGTGATTTCCTTGGTGGTTTTTACCTTGTTAGCCAAGCCCTGGGACAGGTGATACACCACCATGTCTTTGTTGAACTCTTGAGCTGCGCAGTGCACCTTCCTGATGAACGACTGTGCCGGCGTAGGGCTGTGAGTGAACAAATCCGGTATGTCACTGCACACAATTTCCACATTGTGCTTCCGGCTCGCCTGCCAGGCCTGCTCTGCAGCAATCTGCGAGCGCGCCAAGGCACGGGCAGACTCAAGAAATATCTTGACCTTGTCAGCGCAGCCCTTGAGCATGGGGTGTGTGCGCTCAACTAGGCTCTTCAGGGCAGCACGCTGGTCATAGGGAAGGCTCCCACTCACCACTTCTGACAGCTTGACTTTCAAGGGCGTTGAGTCCCTTTGCGCTGCCTGTTTGGCCGCTGATGTTTGACGCTTGATCGAGCCTGCTAGCTTCTTTCCGTCACTGCTTGTCCGTGTGTAAAGAACCCCAACCGTCTTTGCACTGGATGTTGAGGACTTTGATGAGGGCTTTTGCGTCACCTTGGTCGGCTTTGGGCAGCGGCCTGAAGATGCTGAGGAGCTCGATGGCTTCCGCACCACTCGTGCCATCAGCTCAGTGCAGTGACTAGATTACTAGACAGGGGGGAGCCACTAGATCCACTAGAAGTGGCCACAGTCAGGCACGCACAGCTGTCTCACAATGCAGCCGTCTTTAATACCAAAGTTTTTGAGACACTCTCTTCTTTTGTGAGACACCCCCCCCCTTTCTGAGACACCAGCTTGACAAGCACCTCATGCATCGGTCCTGTAGCCTGTGCTCTGCAGACGAGTCCTTGCACGGGCAGCCGGAGCCTATGAGGTGGACACAGAAGGCGCTCTGTGCATGTAGAATAAGCACTGTGCACACTGTGGCTCATAGGTGTCTCATATGTCTCTCACAGCTTCTCATGCTTCTCAGATTTTCTCATAGTTTCTCATACTTCTCATATTTTCTCATATGTCTAATGTTTCTCATAGTTTCTCATAGTTTCTCATAGTTTCTCATATTTTCTCATATTTCTCATACTTATCATATGTTCTCATATGTTCTCATAGATTCTCATAGTTTTTATCATATGTTCTCATAGTTTCTCATATTTCTCATACTTTCCCATATGTCTCATAGGTTTATCACGTTTCTCATAGTCCCTAGCATTTACTTCTGGCAAGGTCTCATATGTTCTCATAGTTTATCATGCATTTCCCACATGTTCTCATATTTTCTCATAGGTGCTCAGGAGGGAAATGTGACAAGACATGCAAGTATAGGAAGTTGCACTTCCCATGTTTGCATCTCTTGGCAGGTTTCCCATTATGAGCTCATCAGTGCAATGGTAAAGTCCACTGATGGCAAGTAACCATGTGTGCGTGTGTCCAAATAGAAACTGTCGAGTGAGAAGTGTGTGAAGAACACATTGCAAGCCAACAAGGGGCATCAAGGAGCCACATGATACATCCATGCTTATCATGTGTGAGTGTGTCCCAGACAGCTCCTGCATATGTTCTCCGGCATTCCCCAATTGTCTTTCCCACGTGTTCTGGCATGCCTCTCATGCTCCCCCGTTTCCCCATTTCAAACGCAGTTACATTTCTCAGATGTCTCATATACTTCATGCTTCTCATATGTTCAAAATGTTCATGCGTGTCATATGAGACAAGTATGATCATATATGTTTGCATATGTTCCTCATATGGTGTGCATATTAGTATGTTATCATGTTTGCTCACACCTTTATCATATTTTCTCAAGTACAGGTCACATAAAGCTATGAGAACACTTGGGAATCTTGAGACATGTGTGTCTTCACAAGTGTCTCACAGGTTTCTTATAGCTTCTCAGTTCTAGCATGTGAATTTTCTCATACGATTGTCATACTTTTCTCATATGTATCCCATATGTGCCTTTCATGCAGAGATCATGCAAGCATCAATGCGTGCAAACATCAGAGTGCACAAGGTCCAAATGGGTGAGTGTAAGCAAGCTTTAGGAAAATGAAGGCCCCAACAAAAGGCAAACACCCAAGCAGTGCCACGCAGGGTGCCTGTAATGGCTGCAAGGCAATGTGGCTGCACATGCAAGTTGCTACACTAGCTGCTACACCAGCTGGGTGAGAAGACATTGATTGCTGTAATTATAAGGGCTGCACTGAACCCTCATTGGCCAGTTATGGGCCACACACTTGGCCCCAGGCATGGCCAATGATGGTCCAACAGTCCTCAGGCGGCTGTCAGTCAGAGCGATCATGCGTGATGCACATGTGGCTTGCTCTTTGCGGGCACTGAGTACTGGATGGGCTTGTCAGTGTGGCCAAAGCAAGCATGCTGCAGGTGTGAGATGCATGACATGCTCTGGCTGAGGCCCTAGCATAGTGCGAGGGCTGCCTGGCAGGCACCAGTGCGACGGATTGTGCATGCCATGAATGATCAGCAGGCTGAAGCCGGGCATTGCACTTTTCCCCCTCTGCCACATCCATGGGCCCTTGAGACCACCAGACCCACTCTAGCCACTAGAAGGCTGGAGTGCAGCACTGGATCCTACTTGATCCCATAGCCTTCACGCCTGCCACGTCTGTGAGACGAGCTGTCTCACATCTTGGGAAGGTGTGAGGTAGTGCCTTAGTGCGCAAGGATGGTGGCAAGGATGCGTGACGTGCGAAATGTATTTGAAGAATGTGCATGCTGTACTGTAAGCCAGGAAGCTGGGTGCAGTCACGGCACCAGCCTTTGCAGCCAGTCCACGACCGCTCTGCCAGGTGCTGCAGCTCCACCTCATAGAGCTGGCCTCAGGCTGACACATCTATGCAAACGTGCCAAGCGCCAAGCCAACATGCAAATTGCACTGAGCTGCTTTTCAGCAGCCAGTGGACAATGATTGCTGCAGCAACGCTCCGGTGTCTACCAGCACTGCAGGCAAAGCAGAGGCTGAAGGTCTGTGGCGTCTTGATCGCCTTGAGCCACTGGAGCCAGCAAAAAAGCCCCCTCCTCAGTTAGCGCCAAGTAAGTTTGACAAAGGTTCGTCTGACTGAAACCCGCGCCAGCAAGCTCTGAAGCCAGGGGGCAGCATGACAGCAAACTTGGGATGCTGGGCAATCCTCAGCTGAATGACGGGGTTCGTGCCCATGTGCCTGGTGTCCCTCGCCGGATCGTGGAAGGCATGCAGCGGGATCACCAGATCAAACATGGCATAGGTCTTCTTGTTTGAGAGCTGAGCTAGACCAGCTGAATAGACCTGCGCATCAGGGATTTGGCGGCCACACTCACCCCGCAGAGCAATATGCTTATTTTCTGGACCCCCCAGCCTTGACTTTGTGTGGCTTTGGCATGGGCTTGGGCTGGGGTCTTATCCTTGGTGCTGCCCTTGAAGTGGCATCATCATCATCATCATCACTGCCTGGATCAACTAGATCCACTGGATCTGGGGTGGCTGGATCCTCCACTAGGTCGGCTGGATGCTCTGGATCCACTGGATCCTCTGCGTCGCAGTCACTGACTAGGTCCACTTCCACTAAATCTGTTGGATCTGGGGTGGCTGGATCTGGATCCTCTGGCTCTGGGGTGGCTGGATCCTGTGGATGGAAGTCCCTGACTGTGTCCGCTAGATCCACTGGATCCACTAGATCCTTGGTTGGAAGCACTGGGGCGGAGGCTGGCTCAATTGGACTGTTCTCTTGCTCAAAAGCCTCCATCACCTCTCTCCGGTTCTCCTCCAACCACTCCTGGAGCTGCCTGTGGATGACTTCTTCCTCAGCCATAGGACAGGGTTTGAGTGTCAGGCAAGGAGGGCTGGCTCAAAAGTCAACAGCCCCTGTCGCCAGGTGACAGCTTGAAGTCGCCCAGCTGGTACTGGCTTCAGCAGCACCGGGATAAAGTCAGGCGTCACCCTCACCGGCAGGCGTCCTTCGGGCAACCCACAGGGGAGACTGCAAAGCACAAAGCGCGCCCTGTATGTAACAGAATCACACACTAGCCAAGCCTTGGGTGCAGTTTGGGCAGGACAAGGGCAGGGTCCTGGCTCACAGGGAGGCTCAACGTTCTCCCGCTGCGCCAGCTCTCGGTACTCCGCCAGGCACTCCAAGGAGATTCTCCCCGGCAAAAGGCAAACAACCATGGCTGTCGGAAGGGGGGTAGATGTGCTGAGCTGCTGTGCCTGCTGAGTGCCTGCTGTTTGCTGATGAGTGCCTTGCAGAAAAAAAGAGCTGCTGCAGCATGGGCCAAATAGCAGGCAATTTAGTTGCAGGCTGCACCTCAACTCTCTTCAAGTGCGCATGCTATCCTCTCAGAACATCTCGCTGTGCTCCTCAGCTATGCCTTGGAAAGCGGAACCGATGCGCACAGGGAAGGGCCGCTGCCATATAAGGGAAAAGTGAGAAGAAATGCAAGTGTGAGATGCTACACTTCCCATAGTTGCATCTCTTGTCAGGTCCCCTCATGAGCTTTGCAGTGCAGTGCAAACACTGTGTTCAATAGTGACACTGTCAAGTGAGAAGTACGTGATGAACATATCGCAAGCCAAAGGGGGGCATAAAGCAGCCACACGATATGCATGCTTATCTCATGCATGCACTGCTCCTCATAATGTCTCGCACTTATGCAACGTGCTCTGACAGGCACCTCATGTCCCCCGCACTTTTGTATGTGTCTAACACATGTACATGTCTCTCATATGTCTGTCATAGTTTCTCATATTGTTCATATGTCTCATAGTTTATCATATTTATCACAGTTTCTCATATTTCTCATATTGTATCATATTTTCTCATACATTCCATAGTTTCTCATAGTTTCTCATATTTCTCATAGTTTCTCATATTTTCTCATATTTCTCATAGCTTCTCATATTTTCTCAGATTTATCATATGTTCTCATACTTCTCATAGTTTCTCATATTTCTCATATTTCTCACAGTTTGTCATATTTTCTCATGCGCGTCTCATAGTTGCTATCATATGTTTCTCAGATGTGTCTCATGCGTCTCTCATATGTGTCATCAAATATGCTACATACTTTCTCACACATTTCTCATACTTTTGCATATGTTACCCACACGTTCTCACATGTGTCTGACATGTCTGTCATACACTGGCATTATGCCACAAGCTATTTGCTTTCAACAAGTCTACCACTCAGACTCAAGCACATAGCTGTGGTGCATAGGAGTCATATAGTGTCAGCCATGCACTCAAACATGATTGCGCAATGCAAGCATGAGGAGGCCCGCCCGGGCTTCGTCATGTTTGAATTGTCAGTCATGCTGGCATGCTGCTGCCCTCTCATTGCCTGGACACTCTTTATGACACGCTGCTATTGCAAAACGATTACGTCACAGAAAGTGCGCCCCACTCATTAATTAAGCAAAGAAGTGTTTCCTTACAGGTAGGGTCCATGCTGGCTACAGAAACACACCCTCACTGTGACCAAGACTCATCTTGTGCGTGCATGCACTCTGAGGTTTGGTCAGCTTGCCATAGTCCATGCAGAGGCCTGGGCCGGGGGAAGGGGGGGGAGCAGCCAACGCTGGCCCAGGATGCTCCATGAGCTTGCTGAGTCTGAGGAAATTGTTGAAGCTGGTTTACTTGACCCTGTGGTTTACATATATTGCCACTTTCAGCCCAGTGCAGAGCGCCCTGTTTTCTCCTCCCACGTGATACTTGAAGCAAACTTCAGCCATGGTAAGGGCAGGTGTCCAAGGGCATGCCACCCAATATGAAAACCAAAAGAACATATTGGATACCTACTAGGAGCCCGAGACCCAAAATATAAGGGCCTTCACAAAGTGCCAGGAGTTGGGGTCAGTAAATGAGGTTTGGGACAAGAATGATGGATTCAGACACCCCCAACACCCTAATGGAGGGTCCAATGATCCTCATACCCCTCTGACTCCCCGCAAGCTCTCTCAAAGTGGACCAAGCAAAGGGGTGCTGCCCAATAAAAGTGGTGCTCTGGGTTTTGACCCACGCCATGTGATTTGCTAGCAAATCACAGTGCCCCCTCCCTAAAAAGAGGAGGTTGGTGTTGGCTTCCCCTTGGTTTTCCTGTTCTGGCAGATCCTGTAAGGGTCACGACTCCTCAAGACCCTTGGACCCTCAAGATCAAGCCATTTCAGGCCCCATCGACACTAGGGTTATGCAACAGTGCCTACTGGGTAGCAAGATGGTCCAGTGGTCCAGTGGTAAAGTTTTCCAGTGGCTTACTGGACCACTGCACCAACAAGCAAACTCACAGTTGATGATTTCTCTGAGTTCAGCACTGCGCAGGCAGTAGCTCTGCCTTGCCTGGCGTGGCATTGGCCCCCTTTCAATGCCATGCCTTTCCATGTGGCCCTGCTACTCCCCCAATGTGTCATCAAAGCTTAAATAGCAAAACTGTGGCCCTTCCTGGCACAACCTTTGGAGGTGTCTAGTAATTATAAGAAGCCATGCGCTCTGAACCATGCAGCTGTACTCGCAAATGCGCCAGGCAGACCTCCTCATGCTGCAGGGCAAGCCGCTGCAGCTGCTGCTTGCGCCAGGGCATGTTCCATGTTGGCATGTAACATGTGCTTTGGACATGCCACTCCTGTGCTCAGCTCTTCAGCACAGGAGTTTCATGTCAGAAGCACATGTCAATCTTCTCAGTAATATGAACATGCACACACAGAAGCACACATGTAACCAATGAGGGCAAACAACGCACCACATGTGTGTCACAACCATAGTGCCTACCCACCCAATGCTCACTGTATTGTAGCCATATCAAGCACTTAATCAACGCACATGTGTGGAAGCTTACCAACCCTCATGTGTGTAGCAATGATACTGGATGTGCATGAGTCTGCGGATAATGGCTCTGTGCTCCTCACATGCTTCTCATGTGTTTGCTAGAAACACATGTGAAGCATCTGAGAAACACTGGGCACTGAAATGCGCATGGTTTTATGGCCAATTCTTGGTTTATGGTAAACACGTACATGGCATGATTATGCCGAATTGTTGTGCCAAAATGGTCTGATTTTCCCCCATATGCTGTATACCAGTTACCTTTTGCTAGTATACCACTTCCATGGGTCAAAGTTTTGAGTAAGTTCGCAGCCAGAGAAGCCACGCTGATGTCAACCCACCGACGGTCTAAGGTCACCTTAGCCATTACCGAATAGCTATTCCAACAATGCCCCAAAATAGATGCAGCATGACATGTTTTGAGCAAGAGGGCACGAAGGCCTCACGAACACCAACCCAGCACCCGATGCCCACGCCGCCCAACAGCCCTGCAAGCAAAGGCCCCAAATCGAACGAAACAGAACAATGGCACAAGCAGAATGGGGAGAACAAGAAACGAACCCCTCCGAGGCGACACCGAACTCCGAAAATGGAAAAGAACGATGCTGTGGAACAGAACGATGAGTGTGGAACAGAACGATGAGTGTGGAAGAGAACAATGAGTGTGGAGCAGAACGATGCATCGTCTGATCCAACAGCTGAGGGAACAAGGCCATGTTTTTTTGCGGAGCGTGCGATTGCGAGAAGAATGGGTGCTGCAAGGATCCTCGAGAAACAAAAAAAAAAAAAAGAAACGCCAAGGGCCCCCCAAATTCGAGACGTTGATCACGGAGCCCACGCTCCGGCAAAATCTTGCCCCAAGCCTCGCGACGCGAAATATGAGTCACTGCCTTCATGTCAGGTTTGTTTTTTATGTGAGATATGAGTCACTCAATTAGCTCGGTTCAAAAGCAACAACTTGAGTTGGTGTTTCTCCAAACCGAGAAAGTTCCACGGAAGGCCCATGCTGCGGCGGGGTGCCGGGGGTCCGTTCAATCTCTCCAACACTCTTCCGAGTTCCGCGCAGCTCGGGCGTCGCTGCCTCTCCTGTTGCCATGACCGACTGGCCAGGCGATATGTCAGGCAATACTGTGGATGGTTGCGAAATCCATGCAACGCACCACTGTTCAGAAACCCTGGAATGATTCAATTCACCTGCAAATACCAACAAACAATGGTTTCCCATGGTTTCAAAGTAGTGCAGGATTTGGTATCAGCTATGAAGAGATGCTTGGTCTGGTGCGTGAGCTGTCGCCTGCGTACCGTACGGTGTTTAATCTGTACGCGATAGAGGGGTATAAGCATGAGGAGATTGCGAATATGCTGAATATATCGGTTGGTACTTCTAAGTCGAAATATGCGTCCATCTGCAGTATGAAGGGCCAAATAATTGCTAGTTGATCCCTATAACCATGGCCAACCGTGGCTTCAAAGCACCCCATAACCCCTATTCTAGTTATAGAGCTTCAATAAGGTGCTTGTTAGCCATGCCTATAGCCCACCGGAACTTACAACCATGGTAACCATGGATTGTAACCATGGTTATACACCAAATGCTCCCCTGGAAATGTGCACGCCAGCCAAACGGAGACGTTTCTAAGCATCGGAGATGCATGAGGTTCCGTGCCAGTGTTCAGTCTGGATGCAGTTTGACAAAAAACGCTTCGCTGCAGAGTGTAGATGCTCTGTCTATCCCTCTGACTTGCACACTATGCTCAAGTCCGGTTGACCGCGACTGGATGTGCCGTTTGGGCCGCCAAACAGGACCTTGCCCATCCAAGTCCGTAAGCCTGGTCGAAGAAAAACAGCCACAACGTCGTGGGCGACGCGAAAAGTGGGGCGGCGCCGAGTTTCTTGAACCGCATCCCCTTGCTCCCAACACACAAATGGAACATTCCCCAACTCAAATCAGGCACTTCGGGGGCTAGTTTCTGGTGGAAAACGGTGGCCCCTCTCTGTAAGCGAGATCCATTCAGAAAAGACCCGCAAGGGTTTAGTGAATCCCATCTCTCCCTTGGCCCCCACAGGACACCAGAGTAACAATTCATGTAAAACCAGGCAAAGACCCTGGTTACCCATGGCGACATGGAAGCACTAGGTCCTAGGTGTGACACCAAAGTGGGAATGTCCGTCGTCGTGGGCAGCTTTCAAGGGGTGTCCAAGACCATAAAATGGCCGCGCACAAAGCCAAAAACCGTCAGGGAAGATGAGGACACCCCGCCATGAATCAACCTGCGGTTCTGAAAGTGAATGGGCCTTGCAGCCGGCCACACTCGATGAATTTTCAACCAATGGGTCAAACCCACCAGCATTGGGTCCACAGATTCTGTTTGGGGAACCTGGAGTCCTTCAAGCAAGGCGCAAGCGGGGTCCCTGGAGTTCATCCTGTCCGTTTGGAGAAGATTTGTCCATGTTCCGGTCGATCCAAACAACGTCTAGCCGTTCCGAAAGTCTTGTCGTTGACATGTGAATACTGTTGTGGTTTATAGGGCCCGTCTACTGTGAGGGAACCCTTTTTGTCTAACAAAAACAACAGGACAAAACACTCCCCCTTTTTATGGGTTAGACGTCCAACCCCCAAGGCTTTTCTGCTAAAAACAGGGAACCAACACGTTCTTAGGGGTCCAATTTCCACTTCATGCGTATCTTTTTTCATCCCTTTGGAAACCCCCCCAGCCCATGGGAGGCCACAGGTGTCCTCGGGATCTCCGGCAAGTCCTCCTCGAACCTCGCGACGGCGAGCGCGCGACTGGGCGGAAGTGTCTCTTCAACAAGGGCACAGGCGGTGAAAAGGAAGAAATCCCGGAGAAAAGCGAGAAGAGCACCAAAAGCGCCAGGCTTTTCTTACCCGCCTGTGTCCTCGAACAAGGCCACATGTGCATACAAGAATGCTCAAACACCGCGCCAACAGGCAGGTTGGAGCAGCCAGCTAATAATAATACGAATGCTGACTAGTACAAAGGCTAATAAGTATTAATAACGATCATACTGTGGATGCACCAAATCCTGCACCACCTAAGAAACCCTGGAATGATGATTCCCCTGCAAATGTCAACAAGCAATGGCTTCCCATGGTCTCCAAAGGATTCCGTCCATCCACAGTATCAGTTATCTATTGTGGAAGCAATGAGTTGTTGCATGCTGCAATGCTTTCCCGTCAGCACAGTGGGTTCAAAATACATTTGAGGCAGAAGCGTATCAGGGTGGCTCCAAAGCCTCCGGCAGAGCAGAAACTTGGTGTGTGATGCCAGGAATCAAACGTACCCAAACCCATGCTCTTTCACCGCTCAGAGCCTTGGAGCTTGACCCTAGATGAGAGAAGCCTTTCGAATGCGTAAAGCGAAATGGTGCGAAGTGAGGCCTTGTGTGTTTTGTCGCGTCCCCACGCGGACGAACTCGGTGGCCGTGTGTCAACAGAAGCAGCCCTTAGGCTCAGGTCTACCTTGCTGCTGGAGGGCGCGCGCATCACTTTTGTGTGGCTTTGGCTTGAGGTTGAGGCTTTCAGGTGTCCGTGCACAAAAACCAAACCCCAAGCAAGGTGTCCGTGCACAAAAGCCAAACCAAGCCGCCAACAACCCCCCGCAAACAAGCCCGAAATGCTGCTCCTTCTGTCGAACATGTGTTTTGAAGTTGGATGCAAAACACCAACGGTTTTGAGGGGTCCTGCCCCAAGACAAATGCCTTGACCCAGTTTGGCAGTAGACCTTTCAGCTGAGCTGCTCACCTGCAGGCATGGACTCGCATTGGGCGATGCGTCTTTGGGCAGAGGTTGTCCCCTTCCAGCGTACCCAATTTGGCATTGCATGGGACAAGTAGCCTTTGCCGGGACTGGAAATCCAGTCTCTGACGTTCTTGTACAATTCCAGGCCGGCGCTTTACCCAAGATGCGGATGTCGCGCTCCCATACTGCGGCGCCCAAAGCTGTGAAGGTGCCACGCTCTCGTGCGTTCGGGCTCGCCAGTGACATGGATGTCGAGGTATGGTTGGCGCCATCGGAGTTTAGTTACAAGGTGGCAAGCCCTCTTTCAACCATGGGGAATCAACTGATTTGGACAGCTCCTCGGATTGTGGTCCTCCGGATAAATCCGAGGTTGCCCTGAGTCGAAAAGGCTTGCTCTTGGCTTCCCTTTTTGCAGTTCCGATTGCAAAATTGGTCGGCAGGGTACTCTCAGTTGCGCAAAGGACCAGGAAATGCAAGATTAACCTTGTGGGGCCTTTGCTAGAAGTGGACCCAAATTGGAAAACCAAGTGGTCAAAAAGGTCGATTGGCTTTGGACAGAGTGAGTGTTTAGTGGTTACACTCCCTCAGACTAACATGGAAGCTCCCAGAAGACCGCTGTAAATGGAAACAAGTCTGCCAAAGGGGTCCTGGGCGCTTCCATGTTAGCCTGGGGGAGGGTACGTACCCTGCCATTTTAAAGGGTGCCCTCGCGTCCGCCGTTTCGCGAGGCAAGGGCTCGTCGTCGTCGTAGTCGCCCTCCGAATCCACCAGCAGATGCTCGAAGGAGCGGCGGCGGCTGCCCGAAGCCGAGGCGCCTGCCGTTCGCTCGAAGCCCTGAGGCAGCCTTGACTCAAAGTTCTAGGGGTACGCTCCCCACTCTTTCCAGGGATCCTTCTTTCTAGAAAACCTCCGGAAACCCGGGGAAAACGGCCGGTTTTTGCAAAGAAGGATGGTCTCTCTCTCTTTTCTACGGCGTATTATTCAGCAGCTGAGAGCTATGGATTTGGTCTCTGCCCAAATAGGTGATAAGAGCTGGTGCGGGGGGTGCAGCTTTCAGGGTTCCGGAGTGGCTCGGGGCCTCTGATTTGAGGCTCAAAAGGGCCGTCACCACCAGCCCGTGTTGGCTTCCTGGTTTTTGAAGACCTGGTTCCAGGGAAAGCCATGTGGTCGCAACGGAACTGAGCATACCCAAGCTGTTCTTTGGTGTTCAGAAGTAGCTGCTCCCAAACATATACTGTATATATATATATATATCAGGCTCCTACATACAAACATTCATACGTACACAAGTGTATATATATGTATATATTCATGTTACATAGATATGTAGTTAGTTATGTGTTGTATTTGTATTTATATAGTTGTCTATCAATCAAATTATTTAGTTGTCTGTTTTTGCGTTATATGTGTCGGTGCATCTATGTTCGAAACATTTATTTGTTGCGGTGTTATGTATTTTGTATGTGTTTATTTGTTCATTTGTTTATTTATGTGTGTCCTATTATAGTTATTTGTTTAATCAATTATTTGCGTATGTGTGTTTACTCATGTTTGTGTATTTTTCATTTAGAGTTTATGCATTTATATATGCATTAATTGATCGATTTAGATATTTATCTGTTTACCTACAGGTGCGTACATATGCATGTGTTTACTTACGTATGCATGCATGCATGCCTGCCTGCCTTCCTGCCTGCCTGCCTGCCTCTCTGTCTGTCTGTCTGGCTGGCTGGCTGGCTGTCTGGCTGTGTCTGTCTGTCTGTCTGGCTGTGTCTGTCTGTCTGTCTGGCTGTGTCTGTCTGTCTGTCTGTGTCTGTGTCTGTGTCTGTGTCTGTGTCTGTGTCTGTCTCTGTCTCTGTCTCTGTCTCTGTTTGTCTCTGTATGCATGCATGCATGTCTCTATCTGTTTGTGTGTTTTTCGGTCGGTTGTGTTATTGATCGAAGGTGTTCTTACTTTCTTAATTAGTCATTTCCTGTTTGAACTAACATACTTGTTTGTGTTGTTAATCCGTTCATTTATCATCCATCCCATGCAATGCCACGTCATGCCAATTCATACCATTTCATAAATATGTGTATATATATATACATATGCTACTCCCCCCCCCCCAGAAACCTACCTGATTGTTGCCCGTCCAGCGCATTATTTGCCCATCTAGGACTGGAAGGAAAGATCTCTCAACTTGGACTAGGACCAAATAAGACTAGGACTAGGACCAAACTAGGACTAGACGATCCACCTCTGATTGTTATCGCAATTGATTGTCAAGTAGAACTTCCTCTGTGATGTCCTTTGCACTTTCTAATTGTTTCAGTAAACTAGGAGCAACATAACACTATAACCAAGGATCTCTCAACTAGGCCTAAACTAGGACTAGACTATTCAACTCTGCTTCTTGTAATATTTGGACATTTGGATTGAAACAAAATAGCCCAAAAATTAGATTACAATTTAACATGCACAAATAAGTAGATGTGTTCCTTATTTCAAGATCTACTGTTCAGTTTGCAGTTACCTTGAACTTGATACACACTTAGCAGAATTCATAAGGACCCTCCTTTGAAATGTCCTTAATGCTTTCTAAGTAATTCCATAAGCTAGGATCATACTAGGCCTAGAACCAAGGATCTCCCAACTAGGACTAGGACCACCAAACTGGACTAGACCGTTTCACTCTAGTTCGTATAGTGGTTGAATTTTATTGGAAAGGACATCTTGTGTACCATTGAATTTGACACAGAACAATTAATATTTAAGTTCCCATTTAAATCAAAATTCTGACTGGAGTATTTCCTTCTTAAACTCTATGTAATTTCTATTAGAATTTGAGTCGAATTAGATAAACATACTAAGTATAATTCAGAAGGAAAGAATTCAGAGGTCCCCAACTTGTGTCTTTTCACTAGTCCTAGCACTACCATGGTCAGAAAACACCGTAAAACACAGTGTTGTGTAGTGTGTTCATACTCAGTTCACATCTCCACCAACGACTGCTCTCTAAATGCTCATTTGGTGTTGAACAGGATTTAATTGGGACTCAATACAGAAATACTTGCTCAGAATCCTACTGGGGAATATATCTGAAATGTAGAATCTAGATAGCATTCCTTTCCCAATACATTCTTACAATTCATTAGAGCTTTGACAGAATCTGATAAGGACAGAATCCAAGCCTGTGCTTGAGATTCAAGGTTAAGCATTCTCTAGACAAGTCTTCTCTGCAAACCCGAGTCCAGGCCGCGTGAAACCAATTGAAACCGACCAACATTTCAGCCGAGCATAGTTTGGCCTGCAGTCCTGGATTGAAACAGGGTGAAACAGATTGAATGAATAATCATGACTTAGATGCTTGCACAACACTGAGCCAAAGCACCGTCGCGCAAAGTGCAATGTTGAATTTGGGCCTCGAGTTAAACCGATTTAAACCGATTCAAATTTAAATCGGGCCTGGATTTAAGACTCAAGAATCCAGGCCAAACTTTTCCAGGGAATCTTGAATCCAGGCCTCGATTTACACCGATTTCAGCCAATTTAAACTTAAATCGGGCATGGATTCAAGATTCAAGATTCAAGAATCCAGGGCACACTTTTCCAGGGAATTTAAGACGATCTAAACCGATTTAAACCGATTTAAACTTTAATCGGGCCTGGATTCAAGATTCAAGAGTCAAGATTCCCTGGAAAAGTTTGGCCTGGATTCTTGAGTCTTGAATCCAGGCCCGATTTAAATATCGGTTTAAATTGGTTTAAATCGAGCCAGAAGCTTCCCGAATGTCCTTGGACATGTGTCTTTCTCATTGCTTTCCCCAAAGCCCAAAAACGGGTAGAAACCACTGCACATACCGGTGAATTCTTCAAAAAGGGTAGGTCCCGGCAAAGGGGGACCATATATATATATATATGTATGTATATATATATGGTACCCCCCCCAGTACCCAGGTGTTGTTGCATCATGTATCAAAACCATTGGTATTTACAGTGTATTTTGATTGAACCCATGCATTTTCTGCAAGGCCATTCTGTGGCCAAAAAACCAAAAAACAAAAAAAACAATCCTAGCCCCCACCATGGCTGGGATTCTTTGGTTTTGTTTTCGGTTTTTTGGTTTTTTGGTTTTTTGGTTTGTTGGTCCAGGGAATGTTGCGCAACAAATTCTAAATGTTGCGCAACATTTGCGGAGCATGATGAGAGGATATGTGAACCTTTGTGAAAGAAGGCATGTTCTGGGTGAGAGGATATGTGAATTTTCTGTAGAGAAGAGTCATTGAAAAAGACATGTTTCGTGTGAGATGATATGTGAGTCTTTGTGGAAGAGTCAGGGTTACAGTGATTCTTAAAAAACAGCAAAATACAGTAAATATCATGTAAAACCACCATGTATGTAACACAAACTGTCCCAGCCATAGCCTGGTTTTATTCTACACAGGGTTCACTTTCCTTGGCAACTCTTTCACATATGCTGCCTTTGTTTCATTGAAAGAAGACACGTAAAAAGACATGTGTTGGGTGAGAGGATGTGTGAATTTTCTGTGGAAGAGTGATTGAAACAAGGCATGGTTTGTGTGGGAAGATATGTGAATGGAAGAGCCGTTGAAAGAAGGCATGGGTTTGTGTGGGGAGATATGTGAATTGAATTTTGTGTGGAAGAGCCATTGAAAAAGCGCATGGGTTTGGTGAGAGGATATGTGATTCCTTGTGAAAGAAGGCATGCAAAAAGACATGTCTTGGGTGAGAGGATGAAAGAATTGTCTGTAGAGAAGAGTTATTGAAAAGACATGCTTTGTGTGAGATTATATGTGAATATTATGTGGAAGAGTCTTTGGAAGAAGGCATGGTTTGTGTGGGAAGATATGTGAGCTTTCTGTGCAAGAGCCTTTGAAAGAAGGCATGTTTGGTGAGAGGATATGTGAACCTTTGTGAAAGAAGACATGTTCTGGGTGAGAGGATATGTGAATTTTCTGTACAAAAAAGTTATTGAAAAGACAAGTGCGGCAAAAGACAGTAAATATCATGTAAAACCACCATTTATGTAACAAAAACTGTCCCAGCCATAGCCTGGTTTTATTCTACACAGGGTTCCCTTTCCTTGGCAACTCTTTCACATATGCTGCCTTTGTTTCATTGAAAGAAGACACGTAAAAAGACATGTGTTGGGTGAGAGGATGTGTGAATTTTCTGTGGAAGAGTCTTTGGAAGAAGGCATGGTTTGTGTGGGAAGATATGTGAATGGAAGAGCCTTTGAAAAAAGGCATGTTTGGTGAGAGGATATGTGAACCTTTGTGAAGAAGACATGTTCTGGGTGAGAGGATATGTGAATTTTCTGTAGAGAAGAGTCATTGAAAAATACATGTTTTGTGTGAGATGATATGTGAGTCTTTGTGGAAGAGTCAGGGTTACAGTGATTCATAAAAAACAGCAAAATACAGTAAATATCATGTAAAACCACCATGTATGTAACACAAACTGTCCCAGCCATAGCCTGGTTTTATTCTACACAGGGTTCACTTTCCTTGGCAACTCTTTCACATATGCTGCCTTTGTTTCATTGAAAGAAGACACGTAAAAAGACATGTGTTGGGTGAGAGGATGTGTGAATTTTCTGTGGAAGAGTCTTTGAAACAAGGCATGGTTTGTGTGGGAAGATATGTGAATGGAAGAGCCTTTGAAAGAAGGCATGGTTTGTGTGGGAAGATATGTCAATTGAATTTTGTGTGGAAGAGCCACTGAAAAAGGGCATGGGTCACGTCCAAGGCGCCTTTCTTCACTGAGGCAAACCTCCCTCCTTTGGTCTCCCAGTGTGCAAACCTGAGCTGTTCTTCCTGCTTGCTTTCGCGGTCAAAGCACATCTGAACCAAGGTCAAACCTGGGTACCTGGGGGGGGTAGTATATATATATATGTATGTATAAATATATATATATATATGTAGGTATGTATGCGTATATATGTATACGTGTGTGTACGATGTCCGGATTGCAAGACTTGGGAAACGCCCTTGCGGCATTTGGGGACCTCAGAGCGCAGAATCCTTAAGGCCTTTGGCACTACAGGCTACAAGCGGCTCAATCATTGCTAGTTGACTCCAATCATGACGAAAATTGGTTTTTGTTTCAAGACACCTCACTCACCCCTTCTTGTCCAAGCCCTAAAACTCCGCGAGCCTTCGCTTCCCCACGCGTCGGAAACGGCGGAGAGGCGCCTCGGGAGGTCTCCGGGATGTCCTGGAAGGAGTCGCCCTGAAGGTGCCGCGAGTTGAGGGAGGTAGGATTGATGTTGGGAACGTGGGGCAGCCTCTATAAATCCCTTTTGCCTTTTTCGCCCCCTGGCAAAAAATAGTAATCTTTCCAGTAGTGATAGATTCCCTCTAAAAACCAACAGGGGAAAAGAAACATATTCTTAACGAAATGGAAGTATATACGGAAAGTAGGATATAGGGAATGTAGGGAATGTAGGGATATAGGTCTCTCAAACTGAGAAAACTGAAAAATGCTTACACACTTCGGCAAAGTGTGGTTGGATTGATTCTACATGGCTATGAATCTTTATGAGGAACTCCAAATGGCTGGTGGGCATAGATCCCCACCAAACTGATGTTTACAAATGGAAACTACACTTGATACGTGGCAAAGCTCGGGATTGTGAAGGGGTTCTATTAGGGTTTGTAAAACAAGCAAGTAATCCCATTTGTTCAAGGCATATCTGAGCCTCTAAACTGGGGGTTGCAGGCTGACATCTGACATAACATGACATAACCAAACACAAGCAGCCAAGGCAAAGGAACCCGCCAAACCCCATGTTGTTTGGTGCAGGAGTCTGGGAGGAATAGATAATTTCAAGATTTTACCATGAAGTAGGCCCGCCCCCAACTAATGGGTCACCGAGATTTGCCTCCGACCCATGGTAAAGAACCAAGTCTGGACCACTGCAATTCCAAACCAAAAAGAACACCTCGCATTTAAGCGCCTGAATCGTGAGTGAGCATGTAAACAGCACCCCAAAACGTTGAACGCTTAAGCAAACAGTTTAGGATCGCACCCAAGAACCGTACAACTGGGCCGTGTATCGTCAAAGTTGAGCCTACGCCTGTTCGCACAAAGCGTCAACATACTCCCCGGGCCGCTCATCAATATCTAAACCAATCTCTGCTTTGCAGGCCGGCTTATCTTCCAGCGCACGGGGTCACACTTGGCTTCCAGCGAAAGGGATCGAATTTGGTCTTCAACCCCAGAATCGATTAGCTTTTGCCGGCTCAATGGAAAATTGCTTCTTTTTGTGGGTGCCAATCTTCGAAGAACGTTCTGAGGTAGCGAGAAGGGCGCCTCCGACGCTTGGCACCCCCTTTCGATACCGGTTACGGCTCTACACACCAGAAGCGTCAAGGAGGGCCAGGTGTCGAAAGGATGATATTTGTCCCACCATGTCGGCGTCTTGTTTTTGAAGGGTTACCAGCATTTGGTGGATTCAAAATGGGAACTCCAGCCTCAGAGGAGGCCGCGTCGGAGGTCCTCGCCTGAGACAACAATTACAGGGACCGCTGCTTTGAGGGGGAGGGCACAAAGAGAGGGCCTTGGGAAGGAAACCCGTTTCATAAATCGGTCCCCTCTACCTTCCCAAAACAAAAACCAAACAAAGCAAAACACGGCGCCCGCGACGCCGATGTTTTCCAGTCGCTGCCCAAGGCCCCAAAAAAAAACCAGCTCTCTCCGCGGGCCCAACAGACTGGAACCTCCGCAACTCAGGGGGCTGTGGTTAAGTCAAAACCGTTTTGGGATCCCATTTTGGTTGGTAGGTGAATGCACCACCCATTTTAGAACCTATAGTGGAGATGGGGATGTTCACTGGTACGATTCGGATTGTGACCCATGGCCCGAAAACGAACACTGGCAAAGGAAGGCGGCGAAACTCATGGCAAGAGTGGAAAGGAAGGGGAACTTCGTCATGGGTAAACCGAAATTGCGTCATGTGAGCGGCGTAGCCACTTTCGAGGGCGACCCGGGGGGTTGAACCTGCAATCGCCTAGACTCTCAGGAAACGAGCCCCTTTTGAGATGCTAGTCTTCCTAAACCTGTCCACTTCCATGTTTGGATACAGGGTCCGGCAGTCAATGGTCAAAAGGCAAACCCTCAATATTATAGAAGAAACACTTGGGGGACCTTTTGCTGGGATCCATTTGTGTTTGTTTGTTGGAGAAGCAAATGGTCAAAAGGCGAATCCCCAACTTGCGTTCGGCTGTTCATGCGCTCGAGAGCGCCCGTCAGAACTTAACCGGTTCGCAAGGGTCCTCACGTTTACAACATTGATCAAGGTCATGTTCAAGTGGGTTCGAAGCTTTGGAGGTTACCCCTTATATGCTTGCCCCCTTAAGCGGCCTCGCGTTAAAACCAAAAGACAAAAAATGGGTGGGTGCCCCGCACTAACAAAAACACTCGTTCCCCTTGTCCCCATTCCTCCCCTTGACAAAGTACCAGTCCTCTCGGGGGCCCCACAGGAAGAATCGCCGGGTCGGGCCGGAACACCGCCTCGCTGGAAGCCGCGGCCTGAACGGGGGGAGTCCGGAGTCGACCCGTGCTTAAATCATGGCTGAAGCCGGCACCACTGGTCCAAAGCCATTTTCTGCCTTACTTGCCCCTCTTGTAGAGGAATATGCTCAAAGTCGGCGCCTTCTTGAATGGCGGGCTTTCTGGACCCGGTTAGCTCCTTCTTGAGGCTTCGGAGTTAGACAGTTCGGCTTCCTTGACCAAAAAAAGAAACATCAAAAAATGACCCCAGCCCCACCAACACACATACACACCCGCACACACCCACACAAACACACACACACACACACACACACACACACACACACACACACACACAGACAAACAAACAAACAAACAAACAAACAAACAAACAAACAAACAAACAAACAAACACAAACAAACAAACAAACAAACAAACAAACAAACAAACAAACAAACAAACACACAAACAAACAAACAAACAAACAAACAAACAAACAAACATACAAACAAACAAACAAACAAACATACAAACAAACAAACAAACAAACACAAACACACACACACACACAAACACACACAAACACACACACACACACAAAAAGAAACACACACACACACAAACACACACACACACACACAAACACACACACACACAAACACACACACACACAAACACACACACACACACACACACACACACACACACACACACACACACACACACACACACACAACACACACAGAAAAGATACCAACACTAACCACACAAACACACACACAACCACAACAAAACACACACACAAACACACACAAACACACAACACAACATTCACACACATTTCACACACACAAACCCAAACCACACGCTCACGCACTCAAGCGCACTGCGCACGCACACGCACACGCCACACGCACTCGCTCACGCACACGACACGCACACGCACACGCACACGCTCACGCCACACGCCCTCGCGCAAGACGCGCACGCAACACGCGACACGCTACACACACAACACACACAACACACACACACACACACACACACACACACACACTCACACACACACACACCACACAACACACACACACACACACACACACACACACACACACACACACACACACACACACACACACACACACACACACACACACACACACACACACACACACACTTGAACTCCAGATGGAGAATGCTAATCTTTCGAGTACAACTGATGAGTCTCGAGTACAACCGACAAGTCTCGAGTAGGATGAGTTTCGGCTCGCAAGGCACTCGGTTTCCCTCTAGAGGCGAAAACGTTACAGAATCAACATGAAGCACACACAGCGAGAGAAACAACAGGCCAAAAGGACTTTACATCACCAACTCCAAATGTCGCAGGTACGTCGAGGTGATCAGCCTCGATATCCGCATTTGCTGTGGCCGCTTCGTTGGACCATCGCACACAGCAAACGGATGGTCCCCCTGCTGCAACAGAAAACGGTTTTGGTGGCAGGGTTTTCTGCCACTCCGCACACACACGCCCCTCTACGAGGGGCGAGGTTTCTCTTTTCTCCTGCAGGAAGATCACATGCTCAAACTCAAATCTCTATCGTTGACCAAAATATCCTCCACGGCGAGGGGAGCGAGACACCGCCCTAAACCGCTCAGAAGACGGGAACGAAAGATCACCACGTTGAGCATTGCGAGTGTCGCCATAGAGGACTGAAGCGATTTGCGAAGCAGCCGGGCGATCACCATGAGAAAACGGAGTGGCATAGGTGAAGGTCTCCTCAACTGGAACGGCATCGGAGTTTCGAACTTGACCAAGAGTCTGATCATGTGGATAGTGAGTTGCGAAGGACTCAATCCGAGACAAAATGCGCTGGTACCCTTGGTGTTGCCAGTCACGGATGTCCCATGCCTGGACTGGCGCATCGGGATCAGTCACCCGCTGCCATTCACGAAAAGAATTTTCAGGTAGATCAGGTACGGCGTCACCGCGGTGCCATCGTTGAGGCTGTCCTGGAGTGTATATCCGCACCCACTCCTGATCATGCCAGACCGAATATTCGAGCCATGGGTGCTGCTTCGAATCATCGATGTCCATGTCGAGGCAAGAGGCAAGGATTGTCGCGGGCTCCGATCCAGCTAGTAGATGAACAAGCACCATGCACAACCATGTTCAAACAACAGCCAAGCAAGATCATGCAAGTGTAGAGACCACCCTTATTTTGTACGCTGCGCTGCTCATGCAAGTCTAGTCTCAGTCAGCTCGAAGACGGGACTCATCTTGTCTTGGCCGCTGTCGGAAGGATTCACGGGCCGGTAGGGGTCGGAGACCCCAATCGTCTCCGATGGTGTGTTTCCACGCGATGCACGTACTGGTTGATGAGGATGGGAGGCCAGACGTGCGCGGGCCGTCAGTTGTTGAGAAATCCCCTCCTGGAGACGAGTCAGTTCTTCAGTGGAGAAATCAGCCGCATCCGAGGACCTGAGAATCGCGTCTAACAGCTCCGGCGACATACTCAATGCCGCAGACTGCGTGGCCACGCTGTGATGATCGGAGGGATACATGGAATCAAATTCATGACCAGCGTGAGGGGCAGCGATTCTCCGATAGCCCTCTGTGGCCCAGTCTCGTTTGTACCACGTAGTGACTTGGACCTGCCCTTCGACTGAGTCCTGGTTGGGAGCATAGAACTCCCTCCATTCTCTAAAAGTATGCGGAGGAGGTGGAGCATCATGTTCTTCTTGTGGCGTCCATGGTCCCGGATGAAAGATCTTGACCCACTGGGCATCTGGTTGTTGAGGGTCCGGGCACCATTCCAGCCACGCCATGACAACGCAACCACGGAAAGACAAGTTGATAGGTGTACGGCTGCAGACAACAACGAGTGAAAGCAAATCAACTATCATAATGCAAAAGACCACTTTTGTAGCACTGTGCGGCGCCAACATCAAAGTCAGACTCTCCAGGAAGGCGAGGACGGGCATCAGCTATCATGTGAATTAGATGATGCCGAGGAGGAGGTCAATCCAGCATACATGAGGTCCGGTGCACCCGAAGCGAAAACTGGCCTCGCTATGCTGGGATGTGGACGACCCAGGCGTTGGTACCCCTTGGTGACCCAGTCCCTGTAATACCAAGTGTAGAAGGTGGCGTAGGATACCGGTTGCAGAACCGTGCCTATAGTTGTGCCGCCCGTGCTTTCCCTGGGCCAGTACACTTCGAAGTGGTGGACCTTGCGCCATTCCCGATAGGTGGTCGGGTCATCCGGGGCCGGTCCCAGGGTGTCAGGGGCTACTGGATGCCACTGACCCGGTACATAGATTCGAATCCATTCCACACTCGTTCCTGCTGGCCCATTGACGATGTCATAGTCAAAATAGCGAGGTAGGACCCATCGTGCTGCACCCTGCACCGTACTATTGAACATTTCAACCCGACAAGCTGCTCAAAGTTATCACGGAAAGCGGCGGACACATAGAGACGACATGCACAGCACCAAGCAAGACAACCCAATGAGAACTCACATACAAAGCAAGCACAACCGCATCTTTATCCAACATGCTACTCAAGTGTCAATCCGAATCATTCCAAGGATCATGGAATGGCGGCGGTGACGGTTCCCGCCACGCCCCATCCGGTACCGACGAGCCCACCGAGGACTCGACGTCTGCATTGACGAGCATCGCGAATCCGATGGATTGGACAGGAGGTCCAAGTCGTTGGTACCCTCGTGTTTGCCAGTCTCGGTACTCCCACACGTGATAGGACACATAGGAACTGGGCGTGGCTATAGGATCCATTGTGGTGCCTCCGGTGCTGTCTTCAGACCAGTACACTTGGAAGTGATATGATCTGCGCCACTCCCGATACGTGGAAGCGTAAAGTGGGTCCGGAACTGGCGCCTCCTCAGGAACGGGCCTCCAAATGCCCGGAGAGTAAATTCGAATCCATTCCACTCCTCTATCGATCTGGTACTCGAAATACTGGGGGTTCATAGCAGCAATACGGGCTTGCACGACTGCTAAACCAGTCGAAAGTCTGCGGCAAGGACACACATGCATTGCCAACCGCACATATCCGCTGAAGAGCGAGGCAACTTTTCAAACACAAGGTGAAACGCAGCAACGAGGTCTGAAATGTCTGACTCCTAGCTTTCACTGTCGTTGATGTCGCGCACACCTGCAATGATAGTGACCTGGTCGTCTACGAGCACAAGGGGAAAGACATTTCCGTCCATGGCGCAGGATGGCGTGACAGTAATGCTTGCATGTTGCCGATGGGGATTGCGATAGACGGCCAGCACGTTTGGAATAAAACACTGTAAAGGGCCGTCGAGATCGCCGCGGCGCTGAAGCTGATGCTGTCCGAGATCGTTTGGACGAGCGCCCTGGACTGCGTGGTACTTCATCACGGGAAGGGTCAGTGCTGTAGATCGAGCGGCGTGTGCGCTGCGATTTCGAAGAGGTAGGGCAGGATTGTCCGCGAGGGGCTGAGATCGAGGGGCTGCGTACCGAGGGCATAAACTGTGGGTGTAGAATCACCGGTGGTGGTGGTGGTGGTGGAGGAGGAGGTGGAAGAAGCAATGGCAGACTTGGCGGGGGCGGAGGCGACGTAGTCAGCCGAATGGGTCTGTCGAGTAGAGCCCCGGGTCCATGAAATTGTAACCACGTCGGCTGCGCTCCATGGGTCCAGGTAATGTACGTCTGTACAACTTGTTCTGACATGATTTGAGCAACTCAGGCAAGACATCACTGCATGTCAACGACATCTCACAACACGACAAGCAAGATTGAGTCACGTGCAAGCAAGCAAATATCATGTGATCAACAACTCGAACCGGACACACCGCCGCCGCTTATCATTTGGTCCATCAACGGTCGCTGCTGCATTTGACGGGCATGTTCCTAGCCGCGAGCCTCAAGTTGTTGATAGACCTTCCATGCCTGCTTGACTTCCTCAATCGGCTTCTGAAGAAACCGCGCTATGGTCTTATAGGTGGGCCTGGAATCCTTATCTTTCTTCCGTCTCACCATTTCATCC